GAGAGAACAATCACGGGAGAAGGAAGTGCTGCTTATGCACAGGGAGACAGCTCAGGGTGCAGGAGTGTATGGTGGGATGGACACTGGGAAGAGGTAACCATGGGGAGGAAGTGGGAGGGGAGCTGTTGCATTGTGGTAAACTGTGGTCAATGACATGAGACAAGGTACATGTGAACTGCTGTATGGAAAGTGAATTTGCTCTGTAAATCTTCACCCAAATAAAAATAAATAAATTAAGAAAAAAAAAAGAACATTCTTACAAATTAATCGTAGCGATTGTTTGTTTGTTTACCTTCCATAGTTCAATGGCCACAGGCTGATGTGGTGGACTGTCACAGTATATGTCTTCCACGGTGTTTTTCCAAAACTGCATTCGCATCTGTCCAATTGTCTTCTCAGACACTGAGTCCTTAACCTGTAAACAGAGTTTAAAAATTGTAACTAATGCACTGTTCAGTTTCCTGCTGTGACTCTGCAAAATCTCATAATCTGAGCTAAAAACTATATTTAATTCTATATATTTGCTTTAATTTTTCCTTTAAGCAATTAAATTGTTGCCACTACTAGTTACCCAAACAAAAGCTAAAAATTACTTAGTGATGACTTTTTTTATTTCTAAGATTTATGTTCAAACATAGGGAGCATTCTTCTAGAAATAAATTACAAGGGAAAAACGAGAGGGAGAGAAAATTATTGGATTAAAACAGACTTAACAGATACATCAACTAGTTGTAACTTACAGACTTTTTTGAATCTTGATTTGAACAAACTGTTAAAAACATTGAGAGAAAGATATCCATACAATTGGGAAAATCTGAATACCAGATGTTCAGTAATATTAAGGAGTTACTGTTAAATTTTTAATATGATAATGGTGTTATGGTTATGTTTTTAAAAAGTGAGTTATCTTTTAGAATACATAATGAAATATTTTCAAATAGAAAAATGTATCAGATATTGACTTCAAAATAACCTAGGAATGAGGTGAGTTGAGTAGGGATAGAGAGAAAACAAGATTGGCCACTGAATTTACAGATGAAGTTGAGTGATGGCTACATGAGGTTCATTATATTACCCTCTCTACTTCCGTATATGTTTGAAATTTTCCATAATAAAAAAAGTTTGAAAAATAAGTGGGAGAGAAGAAAAATAATCTTCACTAGTTACTGACGGTAAAAAATTTTCAAGTCTAAAGAAAAAACTAGGAAGCAGAACCAGGAGTTCTTTAGAGGAAGCAGGGAAGGAATTAGCATTTACTTTCTTGAAGTTGGTAACTGTACTGTGGCATGTAAGAGAATATCTTTATTCTTATGAAACACACAGTAAAGATTTTAGGGACAAGGGCTATGCTATAAGCAACATAAAATGGTTCACTTAAAAAAAACTGGGATTTACAACAGCAAAAAGATGGAAACAACCTCGGTGCCCATCAACGGAAGAATGGATAAGCAAACTATGGTACATACACACAATGGAATGCTATGCAACCCTAAAGAACAACGTAGAATCTGCAAAACACCACATAACGTGGACGAACTTGGAAGACATTATGCTTAGTGAAATAAGTCAATCACAGAAGGGCAAATATCGTATTAGTCCATTATTGTAAAAAGTCAAGGAAAGGTTTATATATGGAAGGAAATTTTCTTTGTTGGTTACCAGGGGTGGGAGGGGAAAGGAAGAAACACTGTTAGATGGGTAGAGACAAGTATTGACTTGGGTGAAGAAAAGGTCAATGGACCAAATATGAGTGATCAACATGGTGGCACTGAGGAAGAGGAAGACACAGAGAGGTGCATGGAAGGTACAAGACAACAAAGATGAGCCCTTTTGCACATACAGTACTGTGTTGTCAGTGAAGGCAAACACTGATATACCAGTGGATAGATGGGTGGACAGGCTAAACTATTAGGTATGTCTATTCAGGGGAGAGTATGACCACAACCATGTATAGGGTTGGCCGACAAAGTTTCTACAAGTGTATTTGTATGTTCTGTAAGGATTCCTAGGTATATAGTAGAGCTGACAAGGGACAAGGTTGTAGTCACTTCTTGGCCACAGCTAGCTACGTAGAGGGAGCGAGTAGTTGGACCTGTGGGCTTGGGACCATAGTCGCAGGGGTCATCAAGGTCAATTGGCATAAATACTACACAAAAACATTGTTCCACATCCTACTTTGGTGAGTAACGACTGAGATCTTAAAAGCTTGCAAGCAGCCATCTAGATTTAACGATAGGTCTCTCCTCGTCCAAAGCAAAGAAGACTGAAGAAAACCGAAGACACATGGAAACAACTAGTCCAAGCGAGTGGTACACTATGTAATCCTTAGCTTATATGACTATGAGACCATAAGGGCTAGATAGTTTCTGGCTACCACTGTAAACCACTCCAAGGGGGATATATGTAGGAGAACCTGGACAGAGTGGAAGAACAATGTAGGACAAAACTCAAAATCATTAAAAAGAAAAATAGGACTACGTTTGCTAGTCTGATAGAGCCTGATGGAATGCCTAAGACTACGGCCCCTAGCTGCCCTTCAGATCTGCAATTTAACCTACTCCTGTGGCTTCCTGCCAACAAAAGACAGGCATATGAGCTGAACATTTACATTAAGCAGATACACTTCTTGGAGAAATGAATCATGGGAGAATAGAAGGGCTGTGTACGCAGAGGAAGACAGCTCAATGGGCAGTAGCATATGGGAGGGAAAGACACAGGGAAGAGGCAACTATGGGGAGGAAGTGGGAGGGGAGCTGTTGCATTGTGGGAAATTGCAGTCAGTGTCAGGAGACAGTGTGTGTGAGCTACTGTATGGGAAGTGAATTTGCTCTGTAAACTTTCACCCAAATCACAATAAAAAATTTTTGGAAAATGAAAAAGTGAAAAGTGTGTGTGTGTGTGTGTGTACATATATATAAAGACAGAATAGTAAAGCAACAGAGTAAAATATTAACAACAGAGAAATCAGGGTGGAGGGTATGTATATGAGTATTCTTTGTACTGTTCTTACTTTTCTATGTGTAGAATTATTTCCAAATAAAAAGTTGGAAAAAATCTTGTTTTGGTGCTGAGTGGGTCTCTTAGCAATATTTTGGTGTTCAGATCGCAATGGTATATGGTTTGTAATAAAGTGGCAAGAGTAACCCTTTAGACACAGAAAAATCAATCACTAATTTTATATGGAAAGGAAAGAGACCTCAGATAACCAAAGCACTACTAAAGAAGAACAACAAAGTAGGAAGTTTCACACTCTGTGATCTCAAAATCTAGTATACAGCCACAGTAGTCAAAAGAACCTGATATGGCTACAACAACAGACACTTAGACCAGAAGAACAGCATTGGGAACCCAGAAATAGATCCATCCACCTATAGTCAGCTGGTCTTTGACAAAGGGCCAAAATCTATTAAATGGGGAAGAGGTAGTGTCTTTAACAAATGGTACTGGCAAAACAGGATACCCATTTGCAGAAAAATGAAACAAGATTAGTACCTCACACCACACACGAAAACTAACTCCAGATGGATCAAAGACTTAAATGTGAAACCTAAAACTATGAAGTTCCTCAAGGAAAAACTAGGGGCAAACTTAGGGGCCCTAATATATGGCATTAACAGACTACCAAACATAAGTAAAAATGCACAAACAGCAGAAGATAAATTAGATGAATGGGATCTTTAAAAATTAAATTCTTAAGTCCATTAAAAGAATTATCCAAAAGAGTAAAAAGAGAACTTACAGATTGGGAAAAAATATTGGTAATGACATATCTAACAAGGGACTTATCTTTAAAATTTATAGAAAACCCCAACACCTCAACATCAAAAAGACAAACAATCCAATTAAAAAATAGGCAGAATACATAAACAGACACTTCACCAAAGAAGATACTCAGGTGGCCAACAAACACACGAATAAATGTTTGCAATCATTAGCCATTACAAAGATGCAAATCAAACAACGAGATAGAATCTCACACCAGCAATAACAGCAAAGTTCAACAGGACAGAAAATAACAAATGCTGGGGAGGATAAGGAGAGATTAGGATTCCCATACACTGCTGGTGGGACTGTCAAGTGATACAACCACTGTGGAAATTGGTATGGAGATTCCTTCAAAATTTGGAAATAGAAATACCATTTGATCCAGCAATCCCATTACTAGGTCTACATCCTAAAGAAGTGAGAGGAAGGGCACTGATAGATATATGGACACTCATGTTCATTGCACACTACTGACAATACCAAAGAGATGGAAAAAACCTAAGTGCCCACCAACAGACAAACAGATAGCCAAACGGTGATACATACACACAATGGAATACTATGCAACATTATAGAATAATGAAGACTCCATGAAACACTTTGTAACACAGATGAACTTGGATGACATTATGCTGAATAATGTAAGTCAAACACAGAAGGACAAATATTATATTAGTCTGCTATTGTAAAAAGTCAGGAAAGGTTTACATATGGAAGGAAGCTTTCTTTGTTGGTTATCAGGGAAGGGAGAAAAGGGAGGGAAAATTGCTAGATAAGTAAGAGATAAGTATTGATTTGGGTGAAGGGAAAGGTAATATACCAAAAGCAAGTGACAACACAGTAACACTAAGGAAAAGGAAGACACAGAGAGGTGCACAAGAAGTACAGACAATAATGATAAACACTTTTACATACACAGTACTGCATTATCAGTGGTAACAAACATTAATCTATGGGTGGATTCATAGGTAAACAGGCTAAATGACCTGGTATGTTGAAGCAAAAGTGAATAATATATCCATGACCTTATGTAAGTTTTACAGACAGTATTTCTATGTATGTGCTACAAGAATGTCCAAGAAAGAGATCAATCATGGGAGAACAGAAGGGCAGTGTATGCACAGGGAGACCTCTTGGAGGGCAGGAGTGTACAGGAGGGAAAGACACAGGAAAGAAGTAAGTGACTATGGGGAGGAAGTGGGAACTGAGCTGTTACATTGTGGGAAACTGCAATCAATGTCATGAGACAAAATGTGTATGAACTGCTGTATGGAAAATGAAATTGCGCTATAAATTTTCACCCAAATCACAATAAAAATTTGGGGAAAAAAAAAAATGTCCAAGGACCTCTGGTGGTGTAGTGGATAAGGCATTTAGCTGCTAACCAGGTGGTCAGTGGTTCAAACCTACCGGAAGCTCTGAGGAAGGAAGATGGGACAATCTACTTCCATAAAGATTTATAGCCTCAGAAACCCAACAGGGATCACTAGGAGTTGGAATTGACAAAATGGCAACGAATTTGTTTGTTTGTTTGTTTGTTTTTTGGTTTTGATAAGAATGTCCATATATATAACAGAGCTAATGGGGAAAAGTTAGGATAACTTCCTAGCCACAACCAAACACCCTAAGAAAGTAAGAGTGACTCACTAA